ACAATATTCTACTTAACCTAATATAACTAAAACATTATCATTTCAAAATATAATCAGTATAAAAATTATTGTATAAAAAAGTTAAACATTAACTATTCCTTTCAATAAACCACCAGACATCAGCACTACAGTTATCCCAGCTATCCTTCTATATACATATATTTTGCATGCTTATATCTGGTAATCTGAGCAATTTATGTGAAGACAACAATATGCAATAGAACAACCATTGGTGAACTCCTACCCTCCTGTCTAGTGAAATTCTGTACTGTCTCTAATGTTTTTTTAAATTATTATTTTCTTGTTCTCTTTAATGGGTAGATCAGTCTTCCAGTCTCACATGTGATAATCTGAGCAACTTTGTTGAAGATAACAATATGTAATATGCCAACCACTGTTAATCTCTATCATTTGGTTTGAAACCCTGTATCATTTTTAATGTCCTTGCTTTGCTTTGTTTGTATTTTGCTATTGTTTTCTTTTTTTTTACTATTCTCTTTAAAACAGAAAAATAATATTTTAAATTCATAAGGTTTTTTTTATACTAAGATTTTGAAATCCTGTGTTTATTTACCTTTATGAAGTATCACAACCTGGGGCTGGTGATTTAGCTCAGTGGCACGGCACCTGCCTCGCAAGCGTGACGTCGTGAGTTCGATTCCCGGTACGGGAAAAAAACCAAAAACCAGAAACCAAAACCAAAGTATCACAACCTAGTCTGCCACATTTCACATGCTGAATACTCGTGTGTGGCTAGTGCCGCCTACAATGGACAGAAACCATCTAAAATACTTAAAACAGTCAAGAAATTAACTCATAAGGGATGAGGTAATAAAACAATACTCTCTTGTGATATTTAATAATTCTTAGCCCATGGTTAAACCCAGGCACACCTAACCTGCAACCTGGGGTTTATGCATGCCTGACTTCACTGGGTGTCACACCAAGTGACAGAAGAATTGTCTGGGGCATCACATAAAGTATACGGTACAGTTAATGTACACATGTATCACAACCTTACAGTTTTATATTTTTACTATAACACAGGCACATGCCGTCTAGGGCTGCAGGTTAAATAAGCCTGCTCTAAAACCATGACTTTATTCCAGAAAAGAAACTATTCAAGAAGTAACCACTTCTGACTGAGAAACTTTACTGTGATTTCAGAGGTAAAAGGCTTCAGATAAGCACACTGCGTGGTAAAGTTACTGAGACTGTTTCCTTGTCTCTAAAATACAAAAACTGATGCACTGCCCACAGTGCCTGGGACACAGTGACTGAGCTTCCATTTACTAACATGATTGTTATTAATGTTGGTATCATTAATATTGTTTTAAGCTTCACCTGATGTTACTGCCTTTTCTGACTTCTGGTCAGATGTGCATGACAGGAAGGTTTCTCTTCTCTGTCTTTCTTTTCTACCTATATCTCTGGCTCTTAAACTTTAACAGCAACTCTACAGGAAAAACGTGTAGCATCGGGACCCAGAAGACATATATTAAAACATCAGTTCTGTGAACATTTGGATATCATTGGTGTTGTTCACTGCTAAACCCCAGATGCCTCAAATTACTCACCAGAGACAATATTTACTCTATTTTGCGGGTGGTACACTCAAATTTTTTAATTCATCTTTTTAAAATGCTAATTTATCCATTCCAATTCAAAACATTGGTCCTAGTCCACTAAGGTGACAGTTTTACCCAGTACTGAGAAGTCACCCACCCTTTGTGAAACCCTCACTCCTTTGTGGTGCTGTTTTCAGTTCACCTGTTCTGCACACCCTTTCATATGGACAGAGTGAACTTAACTCTAAACAGAGTGGGATAAGCCTAGAAGTTTCCTTCAACTCATCTCCTTTTCCCAGACCTCACACTAAATTCCACCTCATAGTTCAACCTTCAAAATATATTTAAAACATCATGTCCAACTCTGCTGCCACCCTGGAATCAGCCACCAACATCCCTTGCCTGACTATCCCCTCACTGTCCGTTTGTGCCCCTATTTGCTTTCTATTTCTCTATAATCAATCTGCGACATCAGGATCCTTTAAAGAAATGAGCCATATCATATCACTTCTCTGCTCAAACCACAGGTCTCCTGAGAGAACTCAGAGTAAAAGTTCACAATGATTTTAGTGATGAGTCCGTTTGTGCTGTGTCCATTTTCACATTTCCTAGAGGCTCTTATCTTCCCCTTCTCTCCCATAACTCCTCCCAGGCCAGCCATGCTGACCAGGCTGGCCTTATTCCACTTTTTGGAACATTCATCAGGTCATACGTTGGGGCTGTTTCTGCAGCTCTCTTCCCTAGATATCCACACAGTCAACTTTTCACCACTGAATTTGTGCTCATGTATGACCTTCGCAATGACAACCAACCTGAAGACTTTATTTAAAGCAGCAGCCCATACCCGACGTGCCTCACTCTCATCCTACTCTGCTCCCTCTCCCACAGCACCACGTCCTTCTAATTCAATGTCACTGTCAGCTACAATGAGATACGATGTCTGTAAGCCCCACAGAAACAAAGATCTGCGTTCATTTTCTGAAAACAAAGCCTGGCACATAAAGTGTCTTAACAACTATTTGCTTAGAGAAAAAGTTCTTTAAGAGTTGGTAAGTGAAACTGGATTATTTCATATCTGACTTATTACACATAGTGTATTAGGGAAGAGGCGATCTCCATAATTAAACTGTGGAGTAGAATTTGGTTCTTTTAAACAATTTTTTAAAAGAGCATTTATTGTAAACTGTGCACTATATACTGAGTGTTGGTACTGAATGACCAAAGTTAGCACTTTTGGGTTAAAAATCCAGCCAAATGTATTCCTGGATAAATTCTTGGCCAGAAATTACTAATGGCCTCTTTGTTGTCTTTGTTATGGGGAAACCTGTAGACAAACCAACAGAAGAAAATGGAAGGAAAAGTGCACAAAGGGATAACAAAATTTTGAGAAGACAGGAAATACAACTTGGCTAATAGCTATGGCATTTATTGAGTTTGTATCTTCTGCTAAACCCTACTAAGTGAATTTACTTGCTTGTATTAATATCTAAAATATGTAGGATAGTCCCTAAATCACAAATGTATTTTAATACTATACCAAGCAAATGACCCAGTGCTATTAACAGAGTATCACACTCAGAAGCAAGCCTTTATTCTAAATTTTACCTAGATCCAGGAATACCAAAATGCAATATAGAAAGTATAGTGTATAAGCAGTATGCAAAAGTTTTAAAAGCCCAATTTTTCTCCATAATATAAATATGATGATCAATAATTTCCTAATTATTACACTACATATATATATAACTTGAATTTTTCCTTACAAACTCTTAAAAATGTTTACCATCATATCAAGATTCAAGTAGACTCTTAAACTCTTTAATGATTTATTTACATTTGAGTAGGATGGACACTGCTTTTTTCTATAAACTTAACCATAAGCATAAAAAACATTTCTCAAAAATGCAGAAACTTGATCAGTAAAATTTGTCTATGGTGCAAAATTCCAAATAAACATTTTAACCTTTGAAAACCTGATCTGATTTTCTTCAGTTACTATACTTCGACTTTCTCAGTATGACTTATTCTCAACCCGCTGGGAAATTTTAAGATTCTTACTACAGAATTTAATATTATCAAGAATAACATTGCTGCAGTTTATTGCCTGTTATTTTTACTCCTTTCATGAAAAGAGAAGATATATTCAAAACTTTGCAAATGAACAAGAGAATTATTGGTCTTTCTCCAAAGTCCATTTTAAAAGGCGGAAATTCATAATTACTCCTTTTTTCATCAGTACTAAATTAGTAGCAGTAAAAGAAAATGTTTTAGCAACAGAATTGAGACATCACAGTAAAAACATATAGAGGCTTTAAATAAAATATTTAAAAGTAGTAAATTTTAACCTATAATCCATTAACGATTATGAAGTTTGCTACATTTTTATCCTGTAAATACCTGAGGAAGTTCTTTTGAAGTTTAAAACAGGATTCCAGAGTCTGCTCAGTACACTGCTGTATACCCTGTGTTTTACCTGACACTTCCATTTGGCCTCGTTCCACAGCAATTTCCTCCTCTTAGAAAAGGAAAGTGACTAGGGACTTTTTTTGTTAGTTCCCTTAGGTATTATAAAGAAATTGTGTTTCCATAGAAAATTGTTGTTAGAAGACAAGTGCTGAATCTTTTAGGGGTGAGAGATGATTTCTGTAACCTACTTCCAAACGGGTTAGCCAAAAATAAATAAATAAAAGGAAAACTGTGCACATATATGCATCTGATCAAATAATACAATAAAATAGTGTCGTAGTAAACCTAAAAGGTCCACATGTGGGTGTTTGCTGTATTCATTCAAATTCATACACACTTGAGAACTTTTATAATAAAAAGGAAGCAAGCAATAAGACATAATATATATGGCTTTACCTTTCAAAAATCTTTTGCTTACCAGGAAACAAAATAAATGCATAAATGATTTACAACAGTTAATTTTATATGCTATAAATACAGAAAGTTTTTACTGTGGTCTAGAGTCTACATTCTTTAAAAATTAAAAAATATAAGGTTGTCTATCTTCATCATGTGCTGAGAAAAACAGCAGTATTTTTCAAGATTTTATATGAAAATACTGACCTATTTTAAATTTTATGTTCTTCCTTCTATACTAGAGCTTACTACTTTCACCTCCTTTTGAGGAAAAGTTCTCAAATTAACATTCTCAAATTTTAGTTACTCTACTTATAACACTAACTAAAATTCAATAGTAGATCTTAAATATATATTTTCTGTCAAAATAAAATACCTTGAAAACATCAGGGGGAAAAGGCAATGAGAATCCAATTACTAGAAGTGAGATATTGAATTTTCTTTCTAGGGAAAAAATATTTGTTTTTCCTTGCCACTGGTAAGAGTATTATTTCAACATTTAAACACTTTTGAAGCATATGACTTAAGAAGAGTTCTAACCTCAACTTAGAAAATATAGCTTATTGTTACCTCCTAGGCAGCCAATGAACAAAAGCAGGATCAACTGTTTCCATGACAACATCATTTTTAATTGCCAAAAGCAAGAGTAGCTCTTGTCCAGTCTCTGAAGAATAGAATGTTTTGTCTTCAGGTAATTCCTTTAATCTGTAAAATATATGTACAAAGAAGTTAGACTTAAAAAACAAACAGCTGCTTTAAAAAAGAGACTTTCTTGTCTTCTGTAAACTGTTTCAAGTGCACAAAAAAATCCTCAGATACAATGAATCTTTTCTGATACAAAACAGAGACTGCTTGCAATGCAGATACTTAAAAAACACTTTATGTAAAAGATAGCAGATGGAAGCAATTTTATTTAATTAGAAATGTTCACCAGTACTAAAATATTAAATATTGATATATTAAATATTAAAATTTTGCCTACATAATAATTGCGGCAAATAAAATATTAACCTGAAATCCAAATTTTTCACATTTTCTATAATGATAGCATTTTAGGAAAATTAAAAGAGTCCAATAGACTGATGCCCTAAAGCAAGACTTTTTGTAGTTTCTGAATCTCTAATAAAACATAAAATTATACTCTATTGTAAACCTATTTTTTCAGAGTTAACTGTGGAAAGCACCTAATTACCTATATTGCGTAAAACAGACAGAAATCCTAATAGTAGAAACGGTTCTTAAGTAGAAACAAGTTCTGTCTAAGGACCTTGCCGATGATACCATTTTCTTTTCTTTCTTAATTATCATAAACTTGTATGAACTGGTTGAATAGAAATAATGATGTGAAAGTCTTGTCATTTTCAGTGGCCCCTTGGAACTAATTAAGCTGTATGGTGAATGGTTAATGATCGAGTAAACTAGATACACACACCTAAACTCACACAACCTTCACTCAGCTACTGAAACTCAGCTAGTTTCAAGGGGGGAATGCATGATTTTAAAGTCTGCCACTTCAGCAAGGAAAGTATACAATTCTCTGACACAGCACCTGTTTTGATTGGGCTATTTTAGTTGTCAATGAACCAAGGAAAGAAATTACGGGTCCTTTCAGACAGTGGTTCCCAACAAGGGGTTCTTGGTGTGTAATGTATCCACTCAGATATTGTGTGTCCCAAAGAATGATCATTCCATGAGTGAAAATATTGGAACTTGCATTATATACTCATGCATTAAATCCGCTACTCTGATAGACAGTACTGTTCTTCTGCACCTGCAGGCTGATGATATGCTGTTAGCTGAGAAGCAAGAGGTAGAGTTACAGCCCGTGCATAACATGTACTAGGTATGTAGGAATCTGCAAAAAGTCAGTGTCCCGTTGAGAACCACTCTCCTCAGAAGTACAGTCTGGAAACCTGTTCTTCAAGGTCCTCTCCACACTCACATTACCACCACCTGCAGGTGCTGAACTGAAGCAGTGTTTGTTCAAAACAAGTGTTTTACTTGGAGGGTGAAGCACAAAATTAGTCCCAGCAAATACAAGTCAAATAGGGGAAATGAGAGCCGATGAAGGGTTAGATACATACCACCTCTTACTGTACGTGATGCAGACTTACTCCCACTATAAAACGTGAGTCTCAGAGTTACCCAACAGTTACCCTGGCCAAGGGATGTGGGAACAGAGGTATTTAGACATCAATCATGATTAGTCATCATAGGAGGGTACTGCCAGTACTGTCAGTAACTAGGCCATCCCAACCCATTACAGGTGCTATCACAATGGCCCCAGAAGCTAAAAGAAAAGAAATGACGGTGCTGCACCTAGAAGTAGTGTGTGTGTGGAATGTTAAAAGCAAAGACTGATGTGTAGTGTCTGCTCTGCAGTGCATATGAAAGAGAGACTTTTAAAAGCTATTTCCAGTAATATCAGGTCCCAGTGATGGATGGGTAAAATTGCTGAAGAATTTAAGTTTACAGGAAAGGGGTACAGTTACCTCAATCAATTACTATAACCTTTCCAGTGACTGATAATCCTGACTTGGACCCAAGGCTGTCAGATACATAGTCTTCTTCTTCTTTTTTTGTTTTTTTTTTTTAACCACTACACAATCAATGATACATCTTTTGACCACATTATATTCAACTACTAATGTAACATAATAAATATCATTAAAAATTAGCTTTACATTATAACTCACAGCCATAATTTCCTACGAATCGTGCATATAAGGAAACAGTGACTCAGAAACCATGAGAAAGGTGACATAAACACATGAATGAGTAGATAGATAAGTTGATAGAAAGGTAAAAGAAAACAAGATTTTTTTTTTTAAATTGTGAAATACAAAAGCAATGCCAACTAGTCATCCAAGTCATGGTAAATGTGAGATGCATTAACATGACATATGATATGTCAAAGATCCATAATAACCAAGAAATAATAAAAATACATTTTATTTTTATTATATTATAATATATATTATAACATATTATAATATATTCTATTGTCTGGAAACAATAGGTAAAACCCAACCTGTGGAAAGGCTCCAGGACTATGCTGACTGAACTGGTATCTCTTCCCCTGAAAATGCTACAACTATATAGTTTACATGCCCAGTTTAACCTAGAAATAATTCAGGAATAACAGATTTAGGAGAAAACAGGCAGTTGGGTATCTTGGGAAAAGCAAGGGGAGGGGAAAATCTAGCAAAGATTATTGTAGTAACAGTTCCACTACCATCATCTTCTTTCATAAACATCATCTTTGTTTTGTTTTTTTGTTTTCTTGTTTTTTTTCTGGTACTAGGAATTGAACTCATGACCTTGCGCTTGCCAGGCAGGTGCTGTGCCGCTGAGCTAAATCCCCAGCCCCCATAAACATCATCTTTAAAAAGCATTCAAATAAATAAGTGAAGCTTTGTGCTATGTCACAAAACAGAATAAATCATATGACCTGCATTTTCATATGGTAGTGGATTCATAAGTAGGACAAGGAGCAAGTTATTAGACTGATAAATCTTTGAAGAAGAGAGTTGGCTTCAAGGTCCAAAACACTCTTGCTCATAGTAGGCTTGCATGCAATCTTTCTTGCTGAGAATAATGAATACCTCAATTTAGAAGATTTTAATCTTTGTACTGGACACACTATGAGTGAGAAGCATTTCTATCAGAACTGGCATCTGAGCCATACTTACCTCAGGAAATATATAAGAAAGGAAAAAGCAGTTGACGGCTTTCTAAAAGCTGTCTTTATGACAGTACATCCCCAAGGCACCATTCGTATCAGTTAACATTTTAAAAGAATGAATGCATTGAAAGAAGTTTTCAAATCTTTTTCAAATCTCACTTATTCAGTAAATATTTATTGGGTACCACTTAGGTCAGGGTTGTGGAGTGTGTGTCAGGGGACCAATTATCCCTGCTTTCATGGATTATATTGATTAGTGGGAATGACCGTTTACTCAAAAGACTACAAATTGTTCATAAACAGGCCTGTGAAAGGTAAAGAGAAGGGCAATAGTTTCTATGAAAGCTTAAATGAGAACAATCTTCATCAGGAAGATAAAAGAATCTCCGAGAAAATGAAGCAGGAAGTAGAAAAGATGACACGTTAATGATGCGTTAATATGACACACACACAAAAAATTTCCAGGAATAGACATAGAATGATAATGAACTTTTGAGTAGGGAAACAGGCTGGTGAGTAGCCGCTGTCCAAACTTTCTTCTATCAGCTACCACTCCATCTTCCAGATTGTCCCAGCACCTAAGCACATCTCCCTAGATGCACCACACAAAGGGTCAATGCCTGTCTCAGCAGTGGGTTTCCAGAATCCTGCTGTAGGTTTCCAGAATCCTGCTGTAGCCCATGATATTTCTGATTGGTCAGTGAGCATGCTCCACTGCTGGCAAATATTTTGGCAATCACTTGCGGGATCACAGAAAAGGATATGCAAAGATTTTGTATGTTAAGGAGTTATGGTTTATTGCAAGAACAGAAAGAGAAGCCGAGGGTGTGGCTCAGTCACAGAGTGCTTGCTTAGCATGCGAAGGCCCTGAGTTCAATCCTCTGCACCAAGTGGGAGGAGGAGGAGATCCTTGAGGTGGAAGACAACGGCCTGATAGAGGTGGTGTAAAATAAGTTTGCAGATGTGTAATGGAATCAGCCTTCTATGGCTGGCCAAAGAATATTAGCCTTCACATAAAGCTTTTTGAAAAATTACTGTAATTTTAAGGAGGAGATTTATAAGCTCAAATTTGCAATGAACATTCAAATCAAATATATTATAACATATCTGTCTTAAAATGTTGAAACAAAACACATTTCTAATGCATCAATTTTACACTTGGCTACAAATTAAAAAAAACAAGAACCTACACAATATTAAGCAAAGTATCTGATTTAAGAGATCAGTGAATACCCATATATTGTAATGTTCATATATATGCATACACAGATAACTATGTAAAAGCAGAAGATTGAAAAACTTCATCCAGGAAGCCAGTTTTTAAAATAAAGTTACTTATTGTTTAATCAGTGTTAAAGTAGGGCATTCACTTTATAAATAATCTGTGTAATTAGTATAATCATAACTTGACTTCTTGGCATTGCCAAGTATTACCATAGAGAGAAGGGAAACACATTAAAGCTGCCCCACTTCTGAAATCACAAAGCTCAAATAATTACAAAGGAAGCCACTGAATGAAGACAAATAGGAATCAAAATGTCATCTGCTACAATACGAATATTCTACTATTCATGGGAATGTTCTAAACCAAAGAAAAAGTTGATACTCTAGAATTTTCCCTAATAGACTTTTGCATTTGAGCAGTAAAACTTAAAATATTCACAACACATTTTTTAGGGCAGTCTTTTAACAGCCCCCAAATTTAGGACATACTAACAACTGTAATTCTTAATGTCAGCTGAGCTAAAACATGCTAGACCTTGAACTCCAAACAAAAATTCTCTCAACAGCTGTTCCTGGTTGCTCTAAAAGAAGGAAGAGAACATTTGTGGCTTTTGTTATATGCTTCACAAAGCGGGTACTAAAACTATGGATCATGAAAATATTTTAGCATGAAAATGTGTATTTACTATTTTAACTATGTATCAGACAGCTTTTAGAGCAGTCCTAACAAATACTCAGAGTTGCTTCTTTATGTGGGGGAAAGTTTAGGAATGGGAATGATTCCATCAGGGTAATA